TATTTCTTTATAGGAGATGATGCATTCGCCCTCACACCAAACATGATGAAGCCGTATGGTGGCAAAGGAAGGAACGTGGAAGAGCGTATATACAACTACCGTCTGTCAAGGGCACGTCGCTGTGTAGAAAACGCTTTCGGGATCATGGCGAACCGTTTTCAAGTGTTACTGACGACAATGGGCCATGCTCCTTCAACTGTTCGGTTGATTGTCCGGACCTGTATGGTACTACACAATCTGATGCGCATGAGGTATCCCCAAATGCAAAACCAACTCATCAACCAGCATGGTGATTACGCACACCCAGCTGGACATTGGAGGGGAGCTAGAAATCTTGAAGATACACAAAGACAGGGGGGCCCGAATCGTGACAACCGGGAAGGCAAGAAACAACGCAATCTCCTCCGGCACTGGTGTAACTGCGAGGCCGGGTCTGTACCATGGCAAGACAGGAAAATATGAATACGTACACTCCAGGTCATGATTTTCAGAGGATATAGAGCAATTGAGACTTGTTAGGTTATACAGGGTCAGACAAAAAAGGTAACCCAAACAAGTTTTAATAACTCAGTCTTCTAATATGGGTTTTAAGCCATATTTGGCCAGTGTTCTTTCATTGGTCTATTTCGAATGATCAAGCTCGTAATGGTAATTTTAAAAAGCATGCTCCAAAATGGTCATTTTAAAAAACATGCTCCAAATGCCAAAACATACCAAAATAACACAATCTGATCCCAAAATTGTACCTTTGTGGCTTCACTAAAACAATAGAGTAGAAGGAAAATGAGAGAAATTACACAAGATATTTGTGAGTGTGTTATCAGAAAACTTCACCAGATACGTTCAAGTTTGCTTTCAAGACAAGACCGGCATTTCGGGCATGTTTGGTAAAATGACCATGAAATGTTCACCGTTTTTGAGTAGACCAATGAAACTTATATTGAATAAGATTTAATTGTGCGAAATACGATCTTAAACCCATACTGGATGACTGAAATATAAAGATTTGTTGAGGTTACCTTTTTGGATCACCCTGTATATCAATAATTACACGTTAAACATGTCTTCTGTGACAAGCAATTTGTTTTACAAAGACATTTGTGTTATTTAGTTCTTATTTACTATACAAGAGTAGATGAAAACATTTCTAACCGTTGGCTCTAGATTTTATAATAAGAGGGGTTGGATCCTAAAACTTTAACACAAGACAGGGTAGTTAGTTTGCTTGAAACTCTACAGCTATGAGTTTCATATAAATTATAATTATATGAAACTCATAGAGTTTCAAGCAAACTAACTACCCTGTCTCTTGTTAAAGTTTTAGCATCCAACTCCTCTTATTATAAAACCTAGAGCCAACGGTAAGAAACTTTTTGATCGATCCTTGTATGTATACTGAAAATATATCAGTAGAGACTTATGATTACTAGAGTATACAGGCGAGGTAACCTACATCTGATCTGGATTGGACAATACAAGTTAACCAAAAGTCATTTTTATAGCAATGATAGTTTGTGTGATATGTGTTTTGAACAAGGACTTTCACATGATGAGGATTTATGCCTGACATTATATACTTATTTAGTTTCGATTGCACTTATGAAGAGAGTGGTGAGTAGGTAAACTAAACTTATGATGAATACACTGTGGAGGAACTCTTCAAAATGTTACGTAAACGGATCCATTTACGTAACAAAATGTCGCAGCTACGATTTTACTTTTTCCATGAATTCTCAAGATGTAAGTAGAATGTCCACGACATTTTTGGCAAAACTGTGTGGCAGCAACATATGTTTCAGAAAATCGTAACGTTTGCGATCGAATAATCATAAGACGACACAATCATCGATATACTTCTCCACTTAAGTTATGAAAACGGAAGGTTGAAAACGGTTAAATATCTGCACTTTTAAAAGTTCCGTATTCATAATTATAGTGAGGAAAAATTTTGATCATGTTGGCGCCTCGTGAACTATTCGTTCATAAATTATTAGATTTTCATAAACATATGATGCTGACACATGTTTATACCAAAACGGTCGTGAAGATTTTGCCTACAACTCGTGAAATCTTAAAAAAGATAGATCGTACCTTCGAGGTTGCGCCATTTTGTTACGAAAACGGATCCGTTCTCGTAACTGGCTTTACGAGTTCCTCCATTTAGTTTCGAGGACAGCCTGTCCTTGGAAATGTATTGTAACGTTCTGCTATTCTCCCGGGGCACTGCTAAATGAAAATGTGCAAGAACAGAAGTTCTGCCTAGTTAAAGACACCGTCATTTAAAAATGATTTAAATGAGGGGTAAATCCATGAAATATGTTACAGTATAATAAATTTAAATTGTAAAAAACGAAACGGTCGCTGTTTTAATCATGACGATCTTGAATATGAATACAAATGAAACTTTGTCATGATATATTATCTAGTCCTTGTCACTTTGCCATGTTATACCCACAATAAATTGAAAAGAGTAGACAGATGTCCAAACTTATGTTCACATACAGACTAGTCCCAAAGATGAGTGATTTATAGAGAGCGGTTTCATAATTTTCAATGCGGTTTGGCGGTACCAATGCGTTCCGACCGGTGAAAACCCGGTGAAAGGAAGGTATAAACCCGTTGAAAACACGGTGACAATGGTAAGCCACTACTCTTTAAACACGTTAGCCCGGTACTAGGTCGGTATAAAGCCGGTGCAGACCCAGTATAGCACGGTATAAACCCGGTCATAAATTCAAAAAGAAATGCGACCGTCGCTGAATCGTCACCGTCTTGCCATAATTAGCCACACGGTGGCGAACGGTGAGCCTACACGGCAAGTGTGACCACAGCATAACCAAGCAAATGAACGTTTCAGATATCAAACAGGTAATAAAATAATGATGCAAAAACACATGTAATAGAAAAACCTTAAGAGTAAAAGAAAGTTGTCTATATCTATGTCAATAATCTGCAAAAGGCTAATAAGCCCATATAAAGCTGATATATAATTTAACAGTGATAGAATTTGAATAGAATATAATTTAACATTTAAAAATAGATCTATGGTTTACAACTCATTTTGAAATTGTAAGGAACCTTCCTGGTTGGCACATACCGAAACAAGGTGCTAGATTACAGGAAAATTTCACCAGTAGACATCAAAATAATGGATATAGACTTGAATTACCAACATATACATCTACTTATGGTGAAAAGAGTGACATATTCAAGCGGAAATACCTTTTGAAAACTGAAAAAAAGTAACTAAAACCATCAAGTACTCTATTATCGCCCACTGGATTTTTTACGTTTGATCCTAATGATCGTTGATTCTCCACCTAAGGACTCACCTTCAGGCCTCCAAAAGTCTGGGGGGGGCGTGCTAATAGGGACATGGGCGCCAAATACAGCTAATAAGGTAAATGCTATAAAATGTAACACAGCATATTGTCTAGTAGAGATGAAAAAGCTAGTGAACTGGAACTTACAAATATGCAAATGATATTAAACAAATATTTCACTCTATTGAGGTGAATACCTGTACATCTTTCACAAGTGATATTCCACGAAGCCCGAAGGGCAAGTGGAATATCACCTTGTGAAAGTGCTACAGGTATTCACCGAAAATAGAGTGAAATATTTGTTTTATTATATCACTGTCTAGCTAAACATCCCTAATATTATTAAGTCATTAAGTCTTAAGATATTTTTACGAATCTACTCGGTTCGTCTGCCATTTTGACTTAAACTGAACTAAATTATTTACACTGAACGAAAACAAATTCTTTGAAAATTCCCAGGAGCGTGGGATATCGCTAGATATCTCATTGTTGTCTTATCTGATTAGCATTGCCATTGAATATCACCAGATATCCCACGACATGTGACCCGGTTTTGACCAATCATACTGTCGCTAGCTAGATAGTGATATAATAATACTACATCAGCCATTTTTGAATTACATTTTACATGTAAACAAATATGTTTGGACACCAACATTTAACTTAGGAGGGGTATAGTTTGAATATTTCATAACAAATTTCAAAAAGATCGGACAAGAAGATATATAGCATTGGTTTCCATAAGAATTTGGTTTCATGTGCAAAAAGTAAGTTTTGAATTTGCTTTCGCCAATGTATTTTGGTAGATGAAGGAGAGATGCATCCTACTTCGCCTTATGGGGCTACTTCGTCATGGGGCGGTTTCATCCATGTCGTTATTTTAACAATTGCCGATAATTCGTATTTCCAGGGTCACCCATCTTGGATTAGATCTCACCTGTTGGAGATTTCAATTGATTTTTAATTTATTTCAAAACAAACATGGCAGACTTTGTGAATCGAAAATATAAGCCAATGTCGAAATAGCCCCATGGTCGAAATAGCTCCATGACGAAGTAACCCCATAGATATTGTTTTGAGATGATTTTTTGAGAGAAGGTCAAGCAAATGTCAGAGATAAAACCTGTGAAATTAAACTACATCCATCGCCAAAATTGTTGAAGTAGATATATCTGATATATTTCACTCCATTTATGGCATTTGGCGACCTCTCATTTGGCAGACAGTGAGGTTGTTATCTCACATGTGGGGACAATATTTTCTTTGCAAAAATGAATTCCTTTGAGAGAGTTATTTTTCAATTTCTGAGAGGGATGTTGCAAGTGGACTCTTAGGAGAGTAAATATTGGTTGATCATTTATTCCTAAACTGATTCCCGTCCAGGTATAACATGGGCTGGGTCCAACAGGAAGTCCAACTTGACATCAACAAAAAAAATTTGGAGATTTTTTTTTCAAAACATAACATTTGGTTCAACTTTTCAAGAGATATGTTACGAAAACCAATGCAACCTTTCCTGATTATGTAGGATCGATGTGTTGAGATAGGCTTGACATGCTCCAAACAAATATAAATTGTCATAAATAGAAGTACCAACCTTCTTTCTAGCCGAAGCAAGTTTTTCAGCCCGGTTGTCTGCCATTTTCAAGATTGCGCACGCATCTGACACGAATCAAGTTTAAGTACGGACTGAAGAATCTAACTTTTCAAATCTAATTTATCTTTTAGTTCGACATTTATAAATTACAATTATAGCTCTGTAAATTTAATTTATAATATATAATTAATAATCTCTCGGAAAAATGTATTTTTGAGCCATTAGGTTGAATAATATTGATTCAGTAGGAGCAGAAAAATGGCGCCACCCTTGAAAACAACATTTTGAATATATTCTACATTGTTACCTTTCTTTCACACACTATTCGAAATGTAAGTTGGCTGATTATAATTTTTATTAATGTTTAAATACATTTATCGTTTTGACACGTTTTGTTTGATATAAAAGGTGCTGTGAATGCCCTCTTAGCGTTGAATTATCAATTTCAGGTTTTACATAAAAATTCCTTCACATATGTTCATCCTCAGCAGTCAGAGACCAACCTTGTGCTAGCCTCATACTGACTGAGCCTCCAGCTTTATCTAGTTCCAGTGTCGTCCTGGTCTTTGGAGCTGTAGTGACCCCGGGTGCACGATAGTGATCTGCGGTATTGCCGGAGTGTACCGTTACGGTGGCATTCTGGCCTAATGTCGGCACTGAAATTCCAATACCGGATACCGGAATATCTAAAGAATCAATTAAACTTACCAGAAATCCCAGAAATTAAATTGATAAAACGTGAAGGCACGGGAATCCCGTGCCAGGACTAAAGTCCTGGAATGAGCCAATGCTTTTGCCTGTACGATTACAACTTGGGAGAATTATCTACGCCCCTTACACTTTAGATACCTACTTCAATAGATTCCTTGGTATTTTAGCATTCTTTTCGTGTAGTTGAATCCAAAATTGTCTGGGTTTATCGGCAGAACGAAGAAATTTTCGCTTTTGATCGCAATATTTGCATGTAATGTTTAACTTATATCAACCGTCAAATTCCTCCATTTATTGGTACTTCCGGGCCAGTCAAACGGGGAATCCCCTTTTAAATCCAACCGCCATCTTGGAAAGTGATGGAATCTCTCTCGATCAAAAACGAAAATTTCTTAATTCAGTTAATTTAATTCAATCAACGACAGCCCTGCAGAATTAGCTTATTTAATATTATGCACTGTCAAGACAAGTACACTTTTCACAAACAAATCATTAGGCAAATCTTTCTCAATTCATCATGAAAATACAAATATTTTATCAGATAAATATCAATATTATCTACTTACCACCAGTATGTTCTATGTCATCTATCGGACTATGTTACACTGTGAAACTCAGCTGAACACGACACGCAGTATTCTGAGGTTATAGAATATAAATCGAAATAATTTCACATTTGTAGCACCTTGGAGATTTTTGGAATTGAACAAAGTAGTGAACATTGCGATCTTTCAACTTAGTTCGTTGTTTTTCACCACTTAGTTTTAATTTACTTTCAAGGCATCGTTTCAGGTCTTTATGATTCATAAAATCATTAAGTTTCCGGCATAATATCTTGAATTAAGTTGATTTTAAATAGTCAGTAGGACATTGCTATCTTGGAATATTTTCTTCTGTATTCAGCAGCAGATGTCTGAAAACCATTTTCTAATAAATTAATATCTTTCTTTTTCTATTGAATCCAGGGTTATTACAGGAGTGCCAAATAGAAGCTCACATAAGGTTTCGAAAGCCTAAAAAAATGGTGCTAGCCACGTACATATTACCTTAAGCGATTCTACAATTTCACAAAAAATAATCGAAAAGTTGTGTATTTGGCATATTTTCTTGAAATTTAACATTTAAAATCCCCAATTGCTGAAAACATGCCCTGTATTAGGAGTCTCTATGGGTCCTAATATACTGGCATATGCATGAATCATCAAGATTTTAGAGAAAAATACACTTCAATATTTAAATCATTAAAAATAAAACACCCTCCCCCCATGTCTGTCAATGTGGACTGCTATTATCTGAATGTGAATCATCAAAGGATAGCACTGGTCAAGCTAGCCATATTACTCATACATTTTTGCATGCATTTTTGTTTAAGGACCAACCTATTTGTATTGGGCTACAGAGACAAGCCTGCCTTGAAGGAACATGTGACTCCTCATAGGATAGCCCTTGTCACACTGATCCGAGAATATTGCGCTGTTAAGGTTAGTGACTGAGCAGTATTTCCAATTTAAAATCAATATTACAAGATTAAATGTACATGTATATGGCAGTATGGCTATAGTGGTTATGAATCTCAGAGATGTTTTCAGTAAGTTGCATAAACTATGAGATTAGTTCTCATTTTCTGCATACCAAAGCAACACATGTATGTAATACAATTGCAGCAAAAAGCAGCACATGTACTTGTATGTAATACAATTGCAGCAAAAAGCAACACATGTATCAAATAGAATGCTCATGATGTAATACAATTGCAGCAAAAAGCGATCGAATTGAAGAGTCAAGTGATGACTTCAGATGAGATGGACATGTGGGAATACACAGAGAAAGAGAAGAGAGATTTTATGATAACAACTTTAGAACTTTTACAGGTAGATGTGCATCCATATTTTCTTTACACTCTGTATATGTATTATGTCACCACCAAAAGTGGTGACATATTGTTATGGTCTCCGTTTTTTTGCGACGGCGTCCGGCGGTTGGTGGTTGGCGGTTGGCGTCCGGCGTCTGTAACAATTTCTTACAACTTCCTATAACTTAACAAATACTGTTTAGACTGACTTCAATTTTTTTCTAAATCATCTACATGTTCTCAGAAGTTCAAATCTGACTCTAGATTTGACATTTGACCTTCAATGACCTTCTCTCAAGGTCAAAAAGGTCTTTTTTCAACTTGCTTCACATTGACTAAATTTTTTTTTTAAATCATCTACATGTTCTCAGAAATTCAAATCTGACTTTAGATTTGACATTTGACCTTCAAATCTGACTTTAGATTTGACATTTGACCTTCAATGACCTTCTCAAGGTCAAAAAAGGTCAAAAAGGTCTGTTTTCAACTTGCTTCAAATTGACTAAAAAAATTTTCAAAATCATCTACGTGTTCTCAGAAATTCAAATCTGACTTTAGATTTGACTTAAGATTTGACATTTGACCTTCAATGACCTTCTCAAAGTCAAAAAAGGTCAAAAAGGTCTTTTTCGACTTGCTTCAAATTGACTAAATTTTTTTTTCAAAATCATCTACATGTTCTCAGAAATTCAAATCTGACTTTAGATTTGACATTTGACCTTCAATGACCTTCTCAAGGTCAAAAAAGGTCAAAAAGGTCTGTTTTCAACTTGCTTCAAATTGACTAAAATTTTTTTCAAAATCATCTACGTGTTCTCAGAAATTCAAATCTGACTTTAGATTTGACTTAAGATTTGACATTTGACCTTCAATGACCTTCTCAAAGTAAAAAAAGGTCAAAAAGGTCTTTTTCAACTTGCTTCAAATTGACTAAATTTTTTTTTCAAAATCATCTACATGTTCTCAGAAATTCAAATCTGACTTTAGATTTGACATTTGACCTTCAATGACCTTCTCAATGTCAAAAAAGGTCAAAAAGGTATTTTTTCATCTTGCTTCAAATTGACTAAATTTTTTTTCAAAATCATCTACGTGTTCTCAGAAATTCAAATATGACTTTAGATTTGACTTTAGATTTGACATTTGACCTTCAATGACCTTCTCAAGGTCAAAAAAGGTCAAAAAGGTCTTTTTTCAACTTGCTTCAAATTGACTAATTTTTTTTTCAAAATCATCTACATGTTCTCAGAAATTCAAATCTGACTTTAGATTTGACATTTGACCTTTAATGACCTTCTCAAGGACAAAAAAGGTCAAAAAGGTCTGTTTTCAACTTGCTTCAAATTTTTTTTTCAAAATCATCTACATCTTTTCAGAAGTTCAAATTTGACTTTACAAGTTCTCAGAAATTCAAATCTGACTTAAGTTTGAACTCATAATATTGTGAGCAACTACAGTAGGTGGTGACATTTTGTCATGTTAATGCCTTGTTAATAATTGCACACCACACTTTTCTCTCACTGTGTATGACTTAGCCTCTATTGCTAGTAAATTTGATGGGTTTGTAATCATCAACACTTAATTCTCCTTTTCTAGTGTATGTTTCACAGTTTCAATTAATTTAGGTACTTTTGGAATTTTTTGCTAAATTAGTGACTGGGTCTGTAAAATATTTTCCAGTGTTAATTTTATAAGCTATCATTACATGTATATGGTAGAATGTTATTGTGAAAGATTTGTTTGATTTCTATAAATGTTACATTTCATTTAATTTCCAGTGTCCAGATATGGAGTTGAAATCCTTGATGAACAAAGTACAGGAGATATCAAAACCCAAGATGCTGGAATATTTCATTCATAGGTATGTAATTTCTATACACCTCATTTAAGTCCTCCGTTCCAATTAGTTAGTCCAAATCCCCTTGATAACTTATCCCTTGAAAAACTCATTCTTTCCCAGAACAACACATTCCTGGCCTGAAGAACTCATTTTCTGGACAAATCGTCCACTTGATAACTTATTTCTGGGGCAATTCATTCTCTGGACTTTTCATTCCTTTATAGTTAATTCCCATGACAACTCATTCCCTGGACTACTCAGCCTCTTGATAACTTATGCCCTGGACATATTCTCATATCCTGGACAACACCTACATGTATTTACTACATTTTCTAAAAAACAAACAAACATTAATGATTATTTTTGTGTTTTTAGGTTGATTCATTTCCAGGAAGAAGGTATTGGTGCTTTAATGGACTACTTTCAGACCCTCCAAGAGAATCTATTTACAGAGTCAGAACCTCTGGTGAACAAAAGCAGTGTTTTAGGTATATATTTTAGCGATGTTACCTGTTCTGTACTGGTTAATTGCACAAGTTACTCTATTGTATGTTAGCTTATTTTAGAATGTTTCCATTTTATTATGGCCATCACTTTAGTCAGTGATCTCTGTATCAATCTTTTACACTTCTATAGGACTATTCCTGAGAAGGATGATCCTGATGTTTGACAAACTGTCATTCAGCCAAGTCGGTGCACTCTACAAAGCCTACTTGAGGTATTATGAGGGCTGGCGACCAGATTCCCACCAGGCCAGGCTGTCTATCTCCCTCAACGAGGCTGACACTGAACTTGACATATCGATGGACCTCGAGGATGAAGAGAGTCAACATGAAGATAAAGACATTGACAGGTAGATAAATTAACTTCATGAATACCAGAGCATTTTTCATTTATTTTGCCATATTTCTCATTTAATATTCAATTTTCATGTCACCACCAAAAAGTGGTGACATATTCTTGTGGTCTACGTTTTTTGTGATGGTGGTTGGTGATCAGCTGTTGGTGTCTGCATCAAATGGTGATGATTTTTGCACAATCAATGCCTTGTTTTTTTATCGTACCTAACAAAAGGTACGATATTGTAGTCAGCTTGACGGGCGGGCGAGCGGCGGGCGGGCGAGCGGCGGGTGGGCGGGGTCTCACTTTTCAGCTTGTCAACAGGTTTCCAGCCAAACCATTTGAGGGATTCATCTGAAATCTTCAGGGATGTTTCTACATATCAACGTCAAGAACTGATTAGTTTTTGGGCATTCTGGGTAAATCTTAAGGTGGCCATTTTGGATTTTTCCGTCCTAAAATCTTCACTTTCAAGACTTGTCTACAGGTTTCCAGCCAAACCATTTGAGGGATTCATCTGAAATTTTCAGGGATGTTTCTACATATCAACGTCAAAAACTGATTAGTTTTTGGGCATTCTGGGTAAATCTTAAGGTGGCCATTTTGGATTATCCGTCCTAAAATCTTCACTTTCAAGACTTGTCTACAGGTTTCCAGCCAAACCATTTGAGGGATTCATCTGAAATTTTCAGGGATGTTTCTACATATCAATGTCAAGAACTGATTAGTTTTTGGGCATTCTGGGTAAATCTTAAGGTGGCCATTTTGGATTTTCCGTCCTAAAATCTTCACTTTCAAGACTTGTCTACAGGTTTCCAGCCAAACCATTTAAGGGATTCATCTGAAATTTTCAGGGATGTTTCTACATATCAACGTCAAGAACTGATTAGTTTTTGGGCATTCTGGGTAAATCTTAAGGTGGCCATTTTGGATTTTCCGTCCTAAAATCTTCACTTTCAAGACTTGTCTACAGGTTTCCAGCCAAACCATTTGAGGGATTCATCTGAAATTTTCAGGGATGTTTCTACATATCAACGTCAAGAACTGATTAGTTTTTGGGCATTCTGGGTAAATCTTAAGGTGGCCATTTTGGATTTTCCTTCCTAAAATCTTCACTTTCAAGACTTGTCTACAGGTTTCCAGCCAAACCGTTCAAATTTTTACATATGTTACACAGTGATAAGTTCTAGAGCTGATTAACTTTTCTGCGGCCATCTTGCTTTCTTGGTCAACAAGACCACAATGCTGTGTTTAGGTACGATATTGTTCACGTCTGTGTCTTGTTTTATCATGGTAATATTACTAACCATGGAAAAAGTAAGACTGATTTTTAGTGAAATTCTTTGACTAATATATCTGTCACTCTTTGTATTCAAGGAGTCCTGATAAATCTTGTCTACAGATTTCAAGCCAACTTCCAAGTTTTAGACTTAGAGAGAAATACTGTGGCTGATCGAGCCGTCACTCTGAATATTCACAGGGTTGATAAAGTATTTGTTGGATGGTTATTAGAAAATATATGTGATATTTGATGTGAGACTTAAGGCTTAAACAAACCTAGTCACTTGTTAATGTTACCTACTAAATCAATTTACAAATAATATACAGTCATTTGATTTGATGATGACCTCTTGTAGATCTCCTGGAGTGATGTCTGATGGAACATTCTCCCAAAGGCAGGCAGAGTATTTCATATCACAACAGGTAAGTTACTTTATCACATCCCAATTACTTTATCACAACAATTCAGTCACCTAATCACAACCAGTCAGATTCAATTCACAACAATTCAGATACTTTATACTATGATTCAGCTACTTTATCACAACAATTCAGTCACCTAATCACAACCAGTCAGATTCAATTCACAACAATTCAGTTACTTCATACAATGATTCAGCTACTTTATTACAACAATTCAGTTACATTATCACAAATTGCCAATTACATTATCAAATAATTGAGTTACTTTATCTCAATGAGTCGGTTACCTTCTCACAATTCAATTATATTATGATATAACAATACTGTTTCTACTGCAGGCTAAGCTAGATAACTAACTTTGTGTGTACTATATATTTGTAGGCAATGCTACTTCAGCATAATGAAAGTGAAGCCTTATCAGCAGGGGACCTTCAACAGAAGATCAGAGAACTACTCAAATCAAACTCAGATCTCACAGAGGCAGTGAGTTTGACAAATAATTATTATTGTCTAAAGTTTATTTGCTTTTATTAGAACTGAATAGTCACTTTGGTCACACAAAGGAAAATCATTTACTAATTCCTCTTATAGGAATTCTCTCAAATAAATAACACAAATATATCAGTTGTTTTACTTGTTTTTATTGATTCAGTTTAAATATATTAGTTAAATATCATCATTTATAAAATGGATATTTATCATTGTTTCAGCACTTTCTCAGCTATTTGAACAATCTAAGGGTTAATGAATACTGTGGCGCTATAAACTCATTGTACCATTACTTTGATCGCCATCAACTGACCAATCCAAATGCAGGGTCAAAGGTTAAAGAGGAGGATTATGGGAGGTCATTCAGATATGCTGCATTAAACCTTGCTGCGCTTCACTACAGATTCGGTCACAGGTATTCTTTCATTTATAAAAACTTTCATTTTTGTCTGATACTTTGAGTTGCTGTTTTTCTAGTTTTATGAAATGATATGATTTTGCTTTACAAATGCTATGAAAATATTTGCATTCCTATCAATACCTCTAATTCTCTAATCCTCACTTTATGAGAATCCTATTGATCTTTACTACAGTATATCCAAACTGACAGGACCTTCCAACCAGATTTCTTACATATAAATAAATTATTTTAATAGGAATGAAGCCATGGCAGCTTTACACGAAGCAATCAGAATGGCCCAGGAGACCAATGACAACATCTGCCTCATGCATGCTATGGTAGGTTAATATACAAATACTTTACATGAAGCAATCAGAATGGCCCAGGAGACCAATGACAACATCTGCCTCATGCATGCTATGGTAGGTTAATATACACATACTTTACATGAAGCAATCAGAATGGCACAGGAGACCAATGACAACATATGCCTCATGCATGCTATGGTAGGTTAATATGCAAATACTTTACATGAAGCAATCAAAATGGCCCAGGAGACCAATGGCAACATCTGCCTCATGCATGCTATGGTAGGTTAATATACAAATACTTTACATGAAGCAATCAAAATGGCCCAGGAGACCAATGACAACATCTGCCTCATGCATGCTATGGTAGGTTAATATGCAAATACTTTACATGAAGCAATCAAAATGGCCCAGGAGACCAATTACAACATCTGCCTCATGCATGCTATGGTAGGTTAATATGCAAATACTTTACATGAAGCAATCAAAATGGCCCAGGAGACCAATGGCAACATCTGCCTCATGCATGCTATCCCTTAGGAAAAAAAACAACCATTTTTTCCGAATTTCAACCGTTAAAATCCATTGTGCAACCATTACAAAACATTGCATAACCATTAATGCAACCAATTGAAATGGTTTCCAACCATTACATTGCAAACTTTGATTGCATATCATTGAAATTATGGAATCATTTGCAACCATTACAAACCATTGATTGTTTAAGTTGCATTTTACCAAATGGTTGCAACTATTTTCAACCATATTGTGGAAATTATTTAGTTTACGAATGAGACAATTTGAAACATGAAGAACATACAAGTAAATTGAATGCATTATTATGTTTCAAAATACAGTAGTTCATGTTTATGGGCATATTATTTCTAATTAATTGAAGAGAATAAGGTTTATTCATTTTCGGCACTGAATATGACTTCAAGTTCATTCTCATAGGCATATTATTTCTATAAAGAATAAGGTTTATTCATTTTTGGTACTGAATATTACTTCAAGTTCATGTACATAGAGATAGTATTTCTATTTTATTGAAGAGAATCAAGTGTATTCATCTTTGGCCCTGGTCATTCTTGTAGTTTATTTGGAAATTCCTTCTTGATTCATTCAGTTTTACTGAACAATACAACAAAACGTTCTGTGGAAATTTTCTGTTTTTCTCCTGTCTCAACAAAAAAATGTTTCTGACTAAAAGTACATACATACATATTATGAAACATCAAAGATTGTATTTCCTGCCTCTTATTTATGATTTGGATTAAGCTAGTGCCAAAATAACTGCTTCTTCAATATCAAAGAAGTCTTATTACAACAATTAAGTAGATTAAACTGAAAATGTTTCCAAAACATGATTTTGAAACATCAACATCCTTGTATTTATACTTTGGATTAGGCGAGAGCCGGATTGATTGTCTTTTCTTCAATATCATTTACAAATCAAAAAATATTAATTACTAATTGGATTAAACTTTAATCATAATGACTGAAAGGGAAATATCTTAAACACTTGAATAGATGATATTTCCTTTTACTAGACATGGTTTTATGCCTATGAGCATGAACTTGAAGTTGGATATGTCTCAAAATTGTATTATGAACTTAAGTAACTATCGCTAGAAAAAAGAGAATTCATCAAGACCATAGCTGGCTTCAAAAATCTTAATGTGAATCTCATCTAATTTACTATGATTGTGTCATTATTATGGTAGGGGGAATTCAAAAATAAATTATTCAGACAAAAATAATTCTTAGAAAAAGAATTAATTTGTAATGATTTTGTTAAACTATCAAAACATAACTTTATCTAATTGGCTGTTCAATGGTTATAATTAGCATTTCAATGGTTATAATTAGCTTTTCAATGGTTATAATTAGCATTTCAACCATTGCCGCTCTGTCTGTGCAACTGTTGCTGCTCTGTCTTTGTACCTTATCTGAATTCAATAATGTGAAATCTTAATTTGTATTTCTACAATTTTCTTAATGAAAATAAGCCAGCAAAATTAAACAATATTGAATTGAAACAAAAAATAATCCTTATTTTCTTACAAGATTTCTGCATTTTTCATTCTCCTTAAAAACGATACCTGATAAGTGATTGCAATAGTCATAGAAATAAGTGTTTAAAATCCTAGGGATTAGATTAAATGATATATACAAATAAGTGTATGTTTTTTGTTGTTCTGGAAGTGACGTCAGACTTGTCATTGAGAACAAGATCCGAGACACACAAAGTCCAAAAAAAAATCTTTAATGAGAGAAGAGTGTGATAGACTGCAGACTACAGACATGCTTACTTAAAAAAACATACTAATAATATCAACATAGCCATAGCCCAACATTATTTCAAATTCATGCAGTTTTTCACCATATTGAGGACTTTTCAAGTGATTTTGGCCAATTTTTGGCCATAGTTATAAAATATGAATCCCCTTGTAAATTTGTCAAAAGTGCAAAAGCTGGCTACAGGTCTGCCCATGAGCATTCATTTTGAGGATTAATGGTTGCAATAGTTGCAGTTCCCAATCAATGGTTGCAATCAATTGTAACTGTTAATTTCAATGGGTAATGGTTGTAATAGTTTTGCAATGGTTTCTCAATGGTTGCACAATGGTTTTGAATGGTTGATATAATGATTTTTCCTTTGATCTTCAAGGTTGAAATGATGGTTACATGATGTGCAATGAAACCATTGAATTTCGGAAAAAATGGTTGTTTTTTTTATAAGGGAATACAAATACATAACATGAAGCAATCAGAATGGCCCAGGAGACCAATGACAACATCTGCCTCATGCATGCTATGGTAGGTTAATATGCAAATACTTAACACGAAGCAATCAGAATGGCCCAGGAGACCAATGACAACATCTGCCTCATGCATGCTATGGTAGGTTAATATGCAAATACTTTACATGAAGCAATCAGAATGGCCCAGGAGACCAATGACAACATCTGCCTCATGCATGCTATGGTAGGTTAATATACAAATTCATTAGATGAAGCAATCAGGATGGCCCAGGAGACCAATGACAACATCTGCCTCATGCATGCTATGGAAGGTTAATATGCAAATACTTTACATGAAGCTATCAGAATGGCCCAGTAGACCAATGACAAAATCGGTCTCATGCATGCTATGGTAGGTTAATATACACATACTTTACATGAAGCAATCAGAATGGCCCAGGAGACCAATGGCAACATCTGCCTCATGCATGCTATGGTAGGTTAATATGCAAATACTTTACATGAAGCTATCAGAATGGCCCAGGAGACCAATGACAACATCTGCCTCATGCATGCTATGGTAGGTTAATATGCAAATACTTTACATGAAGCTATCAGAATGGCCCAGGAGACCAATGACAACATCTGCCTCATGCATGCTATGGTAGGTTAATATACAAATACTTTACACGAAGCAATCAGAGTGGCCCAGGAGACCAATGACAACATCTGCCTCATGCATGCTATGGTAGGTTAATATACAAATACTTTACACGAAGCAATCAGAATTGCCCAGGAGACCAATGACAACATCTGCCTCATGCATGCTATGGTAGGTTAATATGCAAATACTAGTGAATCATACATAGCTTTGAGACAACACTTAAACATTGAAATATAGTCTAACAGGGTATAAGGCATAACATTGAGTATTGGACAACCTGTAATTTGAGTCTCACTATGTTTCAATCCTTTTATATTTTCAAATAATGAACATGATTATGAATCAATTATGTTCATGGATAAAATGCTTCCCACCCCATACTTTGTAGATGAATTGTCAAATACTTCGCATGTTTTTAAATAGTTTAGGTGAATCGTCCATAATTTGTCTGAAGAACTTTCTTATCACTAGTAAAATGAAATACCCTTTATGTTTCAAGCAACCTGTTGAATCCAAATGCCACTGGGACCAGGCTAAAGTATTCTAATAAGCAAGTTTTCATATTTCAAGTTTCTTAACATTTAAGTTCATTGAGGAAATGCAATATTTGGACAGAGAAAAGTGTTCACATTGATAAGTGCTCAGATAAGAGAGGTGTTCCCATACACATGTTTTACTGTATTTTTCCAGGGCTGGTTGCATATACTTGGGGAACCAGGCACAACTAACAGCGCAGAGAGGCCTGGTAGCCGTGGTGTCTCAGAAACAAACTTGCACTATCTTGTGTCACTTGGGGTGCAGTTCTTTGCCAAACATAATGCCATATCTAAAGCTAAACCATCCAGGTGAGTGACAAATGTAAGGATCTTCAAATGATTTTGTTAAAATTCTACACATAATCAGTTTTTCTTAAGTGCAAATGTAATTAAAAGAGTGTGTTATATGTTAACTAAAAATTGAAAAGATATATTTTGGACTGATCTACACTTCCAAAAGGCTTGTCTCACTAGGCTAGATAGAATATTTTGTTTAGCAGATAGAACAAGGATTATGCAAATAATTATGTGCAGTTTTGAGATGAGCCCTGACAGAAATTATGATTCAATCGTACAATAGTCACTCTAACTTCATGGTCGCCTAGTTTTTGATAATATATAACAGAAAGGTTAAATTCATTTCATGACAGTTTCTTAATTCAAAAATATGATTCATAAAACTCTAACTTGAATATTTTTATCATTTATCCTCCAGTATTTTCGACTATCTGATGAAAAGTGATATTCTTAACTGCCAGCACTCCCAGGTAGACCTGATGGCAATAAGCTATGCACAGAAAACAGCTTTATGGCATCTCTATGGCAACAGGGAGATGGCATCACTATGTAGTCAATTGTTACTGAATCTCAATACCATGGAAGCAGGCATTTATCACAATGGAGAAGCTGGATGCCTGGTACTCTGTAACCTAGCAACACACTTTGCAAGTCAGGTACTAGTTATGTTTTTCAATGAATTCTAAGAACAATTTGTTATCAGGTATCTCAGTGAGACAGAAGTTTCAATCTATTTATACATAGGCATACTGTAATTATTCAAAAACATAAACAGTCAAACCTGCCTAATCTGAACTCTATAGGGACAGCCAAAAGTGTTCGATTAACAGATGTTCATATTTCAAGGTTTCTTATTAATGTTAGTCAAAGGGAGATAACAAAATTGCGACAAAAATATTTCACATTCAGAGGTGCTCTGATAAGTGAGTTGTTCATTTTTGGCTATAATTCTGTTTTAATGTCATATGGTCACAATTTACCGAAGTTCTTCAGCTCTTGCCGTATCTGTGACACTGATTTCTTATTTTTGTTTAGGGACAATATACAGAGAGTCAACACATTCTACAATGCTGTAAACAACGTTTCCCACAAAAATCCCAGCATGCATCAGTGTGGATGGAGTGTGAGCAGACGATATTGTTTGACAGAGCAATGCATCATGGGAAGTATAAAGAAGCTGAGCAAATTGTACTTACTATGACTGCGCTAAATCAACAAGAGGCAAGCTATAGGTATTGAAATATGCAGTCCTTGTAGAATGACATGAAGATGACAAAATTAAATTATGATGCAGAAGTTGTGCAAAAACTATGGTTAATCATTTCATATGGTTCTTTGGTCAGAAATTGGGTTGACATGCGCCAAAAATATTACAATTTACATCATGCTTAAGACTTTACAGACAGAGTTTATAAAAGAATCCCTGCATTTCATTGAAAACGCTTTCTCTTCTGAGCCAATTTACCATATATGGCCATGGTACATTTTCTGTTTGCATAAAACTTTGAAGAATTTAACAACTTAACTTGTCATTTGCAAACATACAAACTTTCTCCATTTCAGAAAAGCTTTACTGATGAAGGCCAATGGTGAAACCACAAAAGCATTTGATTTGCTGACAAGCTTAAAAGAAAATAGCAATTCTCAAAAAGAGAGCTGTCATCCGGAATATACAGTCAGGTAAAACTGATATTTTAATAGTACATAAGAAGAGATCAGAGATATGACTCTGTATCAATATCCTGATTCTCAGGGGAAGAGTTTGGGTTCCATTTTGAGTGTGACAGTGGGAGCTGTAGCCAAGTGAAGATGTGTTATTTTTTGACGTGTTGTACAGCAAAGAGTAAAAAAGCTCAAAATATCAAATTCTGAATACATTTGATCTTTTTTATCTCTTCAAAATTATAATGGATGTACAGTTACATAATTGAGTATTAGTGTCTTATACATTGAAATAATATATAGTTCAACATGCTATTAGATAACACCCAAGCTAGGAGTTACAATATTGTATTTCTATTGCCAGGGTGCTGTTAGCTATAGGGGAGCTCCACTGCCAAACAGAACAACCCAGCTTGGCCTTAGACTCATTCCTGGCTGCCCTTACAATCTGCAATGAACACTATTTCACATACCTAGCTGCTATGGTTACTGTATACATCGCATATGTACAGGTATTGCATTGTAAACCCACATTTAGTATTGAATATAGAAGGGACGTTGGCACAATCAGGAAACTTAAAACTATATATCGGTAGTAGATTTCTGTAAGTGAGGTTCATGTTGAGGTGTTTTAAGGTGATATTGCCTCAAACTAATGCCTAATAAATAGTTCCAAGGTCTGATGAGGTGTTATGCATGCTGTGTAATTTATAAGACGACCATTTCTTCTTCAAGTGCATCATTTATTATTATGTCTTGTTGTCCTTATTCAAATTGGTCAGCAAAATGCAAGACAATATTTATGACAGTGAAAGTGCTTAAAAGCTACATTGTATTGCACTTACAGAAGAAAACCATTTTTATTCCATAGTTAGCATGATATTCATAGGATAACATGTGAAAATAAAAACAGTATTTTTGTAATCAGTGGTAAAATATGATATTTTTGACAAATTTTTACTTAACCATAGCATACGGTTTTTTAGCCATGACATACGGCGCAGTATGCAATGGCTTATGGATTTTTGCTACTTCAGACTCAAAACGAGGCTAAGTATCAACATCACCGGATCGTTTGGAAAATTCAAATTAAATCACTTAATTTCCGACGATTCTGATGATGACTTTAACTATGGAATATGATATGATTTTAATCCACTCATCATGGATATTAATATCTGCACTCTCTCGCTACGCTCGCTCGTGCAGATATCATATCCATTCGTGGATAAAAATCATATCACTCATAAATCATAGGATATCCTCTATATATTTCCTGTTCCACTTCTGTTAGAGGGGACATAATGTTCTAATTTTGGGTTCAGTAACTACATATTTCGGTTTTATATGGCACTGTGATGACAAGCTATCTCAACATTTTGTCTCATCTCCAGTTGCAACTAGGCATGGCTCAACATGGTGTTGAGTTAATCGAAAGTGTGATGGTCACCATCCTAGCCCAGGGCTCCCTGTTGGACAGATCTAGAACTAACAGACTCTATGCTAAATGTCTTGTGGCAGCAGCTGAAGGGAAGAACATAGAGAAGAAAAAATCAGGTAATCTCATGAAAATTTACTGTTTTGGGGTATTTGCCAGGATATCCTAAATATAAATGTAGACCATAGAAATCATGATGTTTCGTAAAAGGTCAACAGACTTTGGAATTCTTTTGATTATCCACCCCATTATTTTCTATTTTTATATTTATTATAGGATCTCTTTGGATGAACATATTTTACAATGTTTTAAAATTTCTTCAAGCTCATCCTACTTCTTTTGTATTGTTATTTCAGCTCTGCTAACTGCTGTGAACATGTTGAATGGGGTGCTCAGTGGATATGAAGTTCTAGAAGCTCACTTCAGGGCTAAAGAAACATTGCATTTACAAGTAAGTTTTGCCTGAAAAATTACATTTTCATGTTCTTGCTTGAAACATTGCATTTACACATAAGTTTTAGTCTGAAGCATTACATTAAGAAGTAGGATTTCTCATATGACTAATAAAGATACATCCATCTTTACCCCATGCAAGATATTGCCATTTTTCATCCTAAAAGGTCACACATGCAAGATGAGATTTACTTGTGACATGTGGTCTATAAACATCAACAACACACATATCCGTTGCTATGAGTATTCATGCTAATTCTACAAAACTAAGCTGTGACGTCATAACAATGGAGCTTTGTTGCCATGTGTATCCATGTATTTTCTTCAATATTGTTATGACGTCATAACAATTGAAAGATTTGAAGCTTTTTTTCACTCAGTTTTATGATAGAATGGTGAAAATATGGCATAATACAGAATCATATGAGAATAACTTTCTTGCACTCATACCTGTGCAATATCATCCATTCTTGACTCGCTTTGATAATGTTTCTTTATCTCGTCTTCAACTCGATAAAGAAGAATTATTAAAGCTCATCATGAATGGACGATCTTGCACAGGTACTCATATAAGAACCTCTATATCTTGCAGTCTATGAAAAAATGTTCTTTCAATATGGTAGCCAATTCTACCTTCAGATTTCTAGCCAATGTGTTTTGTCAGTCTTACTTCAAGATTTTTTTGTTGCATGATGTGCAAATGACTTTCAAAGATTCTGATGATCCCCTTCGTTTTCTGGCAATTCTGTTATGTATTGTATTATTTCAGAATCTATATTGTACTCCAAAATCTAGACAGTAGAAACACAAGTACAGCACCCAGATTGTTGCACTATTTTCTTAATATTTCAGGCATGCCTCTACAATGAATTAGGGTACTTTACAGAGAGGAATCAGTGTGCCTTAAAGTTTAAGAAACTTGACCAGCAATGCCCAACAGTATCTAGTCTGGACCTGTCAGTTGTGTGACACTAAATTACACTACACTACAATGTCGAGGCATTAAGACTGATCAAATCAAGTAGTGTGAAACCTGTCAGCTGGCTGTGCAGTGAATGCTAACTTGACATTATCATGGAATAAGAAATGGTTAAATACATTGTATGGCCTTTTCAGTTATGGGTCATGGACTGTGCATTATTGAGCAAGAATGAACTGCAATAAGGAATCTGATCTGTTGAGTACATGGATTTTTATCAGTCATTTTCACCACAGTTTAATTGTAGCCTCAAGTTTATTAAAACAATTTTTATTTCTCATTAATGTTCATACATATTTTGTTTTGTGCATGTTAAATCCACTTGAATATAAATAATATAATGTGGCAAATTTGTTTCTGGAAATGCTGTACAATGGTATCATGCTTCAGCTTCACCCATATGGGTATGAAATGTTTAATAATAAAATCTGAATTAAAAGTCTGACTTGAAACTGCATTTAGAATCAATTTATCTTTAAATCGCCTATCATGGTTACACCCTTGCTGTTGTATCCTATAAACAGTAAGTCAAATTGGCCAATTGTGTTTCCCTATAATTGTCAAACAAGAACACAAATGTGTACAAAATGTCCCCACCTATGGGTGATCCCGTCAAATGGTTATCCTAAAAATGAGTAGACAAGACTTTACCAACACAATTTGAGGACAGAAAATCCAAAATGGCCACCTTAAAATTTACCCAGAATGCCAAAAAATTAGTCAGTTCTAGATTTTCATACTAAGAACCACCCCTAAAAATTTGAAATTGATCCATCACACAATTAACCAGAAAACATGTAAACAAGACTTTACAGGCAAGATTTTAAGACGGAAAATCCAAAATGGCTGCTTTGACATTTATCCAGAATGCCAAAAAACTAATCAGATCTAGATATTGATAATCCCTGAAAATTTGAAATTGATCTACCAAACAGTTAACCTGGAAATGCGTAGACAAGACTTTACAGACAAGATTTTAGAACAGAAAATCCAAAATGGCTGCCTTGATATTTACCCAAAATGCCAAAACACTAATCAGATCTAGATTTTCATACTAAGAATCATCCCTGAAAATTTGAAATTGATCTTCCAAACAGTTCACCTAAAACGTATAGACAAGACTTTACAGGCAAGATTTTAAGACGAAAAATCCAAAATGGCTGCCTTGACATTTATCTAGAATGCCAAAAAACTAATCAGATCTAGATTTTCATACTAAGAATCATCCCTGAAAATTTCAAATTGATCTACCAAACGGTTTACCTGGAAATGCGTGGACAAGACTTTACAGACAAGATTTTAGGACGGAAAATCCAAAATGGCTGCCTTGACATTTACCCATAATGCCCAACAACTAATCAGATCACGATTTTCATACTAAGAATCATCCCTGAAAATTTGAAATTGATCAACCAAACGGTTCACCTGGAAATGCGTAGACAAGACTTTACAGACAAGATTTTAGGACGGAAAATCCAAAATGGCTGCCTTGACATTTACTCAGAATGCCCAAAAACTAATCAGATCTAGATTTTCATACTAAGAATCATCCCCGAAAATTTGAAATTGATCTATCAAACGGTTCACCTGAAAACGTGAAGACTTTACAGACAAGATTTTAGGACGGAAAAATCCAAAATGGCCGACAATAAAAAAGTGATTATGAGTTTTTGCTGATTTCTTTTTACAAAATTATCACATATAACTACTGTTAACAATAATATAGGCTTTTACAACAAAGTACACCTGAAATTATTTATAAGGCTACTAAATAGTTAAAGTATGAAAACTGAAAAACACCATTCAATATGATACAAAGTATTATCGTGCGCTAACTTTCCTTAAAACATTCAAAATGGCTGACATGACTGAGCAAACAGGTCCAAAACCTAATCAGATCTAGAATGAAGTGAGCTGAACAAGATCTTAAAGTTTTAAAAGCAACTGTGAAGCCGTTTTTCTTAAAGTTTGCAGACAAGGATTTTAGCATTTGACTTCAAAATGGCCGACAGGAAGTAGGTATCGAGTTAATTTTTTTTCGTCCACATCTGTATGCACTCATAAGTTATCCCTGAAAATTTGAAGGTGATATCTGTAGCGGTTTTGGAGAAAACTGCCGGACGGACGGACGGACAGACGGACATACGGACAGACGGACATACGGACAGACAGACGCGCCTAGGCCGACAATATGGCCCCACACTATGTGGTGGGGACATAATAAAAGATCTTTTTATAAAATTAAATGTATTTTATTTGTTGTAACTACTCTAGCTTTAGTCATTACTAGGCATTGTATACAATGATCTCCACAGGATATTTTCTCAAGTGGGTGCAAATTTTTCATTTTCCCTATTCAGACCAAAATCGGTCAAAATTTGACTATTTTTCTCATTTTCAAGTGGGTGCAAATGGTTTCTCAGGTGGGTGCAGGCCTATTATCAAAATCTCAGGTTGGTGTTGCGCCCACTTGCTTTAATGCTGGGGAGGTCACTGGTATATACTATACACTATTAAACACTCAGCATAACATTGATGGAGGAATGTGCAAATACAAATCTGATTCCTCAAAACATAAAACAGAAATGAAATACAGGATTGACCAATTAATGGGTCTATTGGGATCTTTTACACTTTTTTGGTTGTCTGCAAGACATCATTTTGCATTTCTGCAAGTAAAACATTCATGAAGGCATTACTTAAGGTACTAACAGGGGGTTTGAATTGAATTTGCACTTGGGTTATTTTGATAGACATTCTATTTCTCAATATCTCTTCAATTGTTTATTCATAGCATCTTATATAATATATGAAACTAAATGGATACATATTAGACTAGATTCAACACAATAATTTCATATATTCTGAACAATGCAAGCACAAATGAAATATTGTCCTTAATATTTTCAGTTCACAAGATTTCTTGAAACTCCGGTGAAATTCTTTTGTGAAATGCAATTTATGGATTTGGCAGTAATTCATGTTGGCAAATGAAATAATCAATTTAAAACTGCTTGGTTGCAGAATATGCACTTTCCTTGACTTTGCATTACAATCCACCCGACAAATGACATCAGGATTGTATTTGGAAGACAATTACAACCGCTCTATCACACTATTTTCCTATTATTAATACTTTATCACCGTAAACCTATTCCAAGACTAAACGTCCTCCATCCGGTAGATTTTCCAACTCCCTTCGGAGCATCAACTACAACTTCCTGTTTTGTCACTGGGTTTCCTTGCACCTTATAAGGTCGTGCGGGTGGTAAGGCAGTCACTCTGGCACCGTCGTGTTTCAGGGTTTTACGATTTAAATATTTTTCTTTTAATTGTTTATGGACCTGGAAGGAAAGGTAGATGTATATATGAAATCACAAGAAAACTTGAAACTGTACACTGATTTAAACAATGTTCGACCAGAAAAAAAGAATCACATTTTTTAGCAATAGGCTCATGTACTATAAGCTTGGGTACAAATAATTATGATCTCTTTTAAAACAATTTTGTTACATACAAATATTTGACTGTACATTAGCTTGTATACTGAACAATATTTGAAGTATGGTAGAATGTAAAAATGATACGAAAAACAAATAGAAAAAAACAAACAAAAGAAAGAAATAATAAAGCACAAAACAAAGCACTCACAGAAACAAAACAAAGCAACAGTAACACTACATCACTCCCAATCAGGAGGGATGATTCCCTTGCAGATATCTCTGTTCTTGTCAAAGGCAATTCTAAGATTTCTGTTAATCTAAGAAGCAATGGAAAGAGGTGTTAAGTGCAAAACAGCTTATACTAGGGCAACACTTAATCTACAGTGAAAACACAGAAACTAAAGAGAATGAAGTGATTGATGCTGCAGAAATTGTATGGTAAAATATAATGAGCGGAGGAAGATGCTGATTTTTCATTACTTTGCAATAATTTCCCAAATCTAATTTGTGTTCCTTCCTCAAAACATAATTATTGCAAACCAAGAATATTTTGTGCAATTATTCAATATTGCAAGATTCATTTTACAACATTTGTATATTACTTGAACTTATAGCTCATAAAGCATTCATACACAAGTCAATTTAGGATCTTGCATATGATTTTTAAAGTTTTCAATATATTGTTGAGGAAATAACAGCAACATCAACATTAATGGAGTAAGATAAAATAAAAAGAAACTAATTAGAATGTGTTATAGGTGATGTTTTGATTGAAGCTAAATTAAATGTTTAAGCAAGCTAGTCTTTCATCAAGTCTCTGATGCCCTATATACATGTACTTCCCATAACATCATCTACATCACAAGTAACATGTGCTTAATAGAGAAAGGTGATCTATGTGGTTGTCCTTAGTTATATAAGAGGTATGCAGAGAATGTTGCATTCTGGGTAAAACACAATTATGGCTTGCTGATCCAATAATTAGAGAACAATGGATGCAAAAAAGGAAAAGGAAAATACAGGTACTTGATGCTAGACTAAAAGTTAAAAGCTCTAAGACCAATAGAGGAAAATAAACTAAAGGCATGGAATGGAAGCATGGAATTAATAATATACTGACCTTCCTCTTTTCATTCACCAATTCTAGCACCAGTTCTTCCTCATTTAAACAAACTTTATAATCAGCAACACTGGCTTCTTGATTCCAAGTAACACTCTGGGAATCCAATGACTTTAATCTCACGGGTGATGCAGTCGTGACGAGGTTCTGAAGTTGTCTACGAGCCTTCTCAGCAGCTGGGCTACGTATGACATCACTAGTTGTCTTACCAGGGTACAATCGTGACATGATGCCGAATATTTCCTTGTTATCGGGGTCTAGATGTAAAGCAAGGAGGATGTCATCCCTTGCACCTGAGCCATTCTGGAAAGGAACATAGCAAAAGTAAGTTCTTGATTTCAATATGACTGTGTAATATACATGTAGATCGATTATAAAACAACTATAATTAGTCTTGCAAGGTTCTTTTTATTATAGGATTTCTTTAAAAATAAATATTGTATGTCAATCTCTGATAAAATGGCTCATATTCAAAATTCAGGTTTTCTTATTTAGAGTATTGTGTGAAGAAAATGATACAATAGTAAAATTGTTAAATGCACATGTATAAAATAAATAAGTATAATAGCAATTTGACACTCAGATATTTCAATTGATCTAAATTATGCAGGCAATCAATTTCTTCTGTGCAATGCCCATGCTAAGGATTTTAGATCATTTGCAATGTTCATTCAGTCAAAAGTAACCAGACATTATCATATTGAGTTTTTCAATCACATGTATTTGAATTTGATTGATCTATGATCAATTCAGTTTGTACATGTATATCACTGTAACAAATCTGTAAAATATCATCCAATCTAAGATTCCTAAAGAATAAATATGTGAGTATAGGTGGCACTGACCTCCATCATATACCTGGCCCTGGCCCGAGACACATAATATCTGCCCACTGAGGGATTATTCTGGATGGCTAGTGTAAATCTGGAATCAGCTTCCTGAAATATAAAACAACATAGTATTGTGAAAGTAGAAAAAGTATAATATTAATATTATTTTATCTGGCACTACAATAGTCACTGGTCATATAACAGGGCAAGTCATATGGATTTTAGACCTTCAAATGTAAACTGTAGTTCAATTTTACTTAACCCTAATCTCATGTTTCTTCATTTTTGCAATCACATGTAAAAGTCCATATGGATTTTGGACCTTGAATGTAGTTCAATTTTTCTTAAGCCTAATCTTATATTTTTTTTAATTTTGCAACCACGTGTAAAAATCATCCCACTCTCTCCTCTTTTTATCCCCCACAGCTGATAGAATTCATACCGGATAGTTCTTGTCTGCATATTCTATAATTCCAAATTCATTGTGTACAATAGCAACGCGGGCCCTGACCCCCTGGTCTGAGGGGTCCATCTCTAAGGCCTGATGGTAGTCTTGTAGGGAAAAGTGGGGCTCCCCTTGTTTAAAGAAACAATCTGCAATAGAAAATTACACATTAGGTTATTAGAATATTATTTCATGCACATGGGTTTCATTGTTCATTTTGAGAAATTACAAATACAGAGTATTAGGGTGGATTAAAAAGTAGACACAAAGCGCTCATCATTACTGGCTACAAAGAAATAGCATCACTAATATTCATACCTTCAAATCAAATTACAGAGTTTATGGTGAATTTGGTTAATGGTGTACAGTGAATATGATACGCCTGAACTTACGGCTAAATCATAAACTTGAGGAAGTTGTACATGTTTATCTCTAAATTAAGTTCTCACCTCCCCTGTTGACATAGAGCCCCTTCTCCCTCTTCTCCCCTTTGATAGCCTTGTTAAGTAATATAATAGCCTCCTCATAGAAGCCCTTTGTGAAGCACTCAACAGCAAAGTCATTATATGTGAGGAGTAACTGTCTCTGAGATTCCTGATAGGTTGACGACTCCTCATCATGGTCTGTCTTGTCCAATGCAAGGAGGTAATCATCAATAGCTGCATTGTAGTCCTGCAGTTTTCTATGTAGAGATCCTCTAGAAAAAGTAACAGGACAATTGTATAACAGTTGATGATACTGTAGAGCTTGAAGTATCAAAACGAAATGTAAAGATCTTACATGTAAAACTACAGGTTTCAAAGTGTTAATTTCTGGCTGCAGTCTATGGGCAAATAGCATGAAGATTATTTTTATGTAAACCTACTATCCTAGAGGCATGAGAAACTTTCAACTGCATGTTGTTGGTTGACAGAAAAGAACATATCTAGAAGGACCTAAATCCAATCCAATAGCTTTGACCTACCCTAGTAAAATAAAAAAAATAGTCAGCTAATCTAAGCTAGTAATAGTCGGCACTTACCTTAAGACATGCAGCCCAGCAATACTAGGGTTTGTTTCTATGGCAACTGAGATTTTCTGTAAAGCTTCCCTTGGTTTTCCCAGAAGGCTAAGTTGCAAAGCTTGTTGACGGTGATCTTTGGCCCGTTCATCGAGCATTTTCATTAAATTGATTGCCTCAGGATGTTGAGGGTTTAGAGCTAGGGCATCTTTCACATCATAGTAGCACAATGTTCTCTGCAAGATAATTATACAGTTTAAGTATGAGAACTTGACATATACAGTTAAACTAGTGTAAGTAGTGTTCCACTTAGGGAGGTTCATTTTACATTTAGATAACAGGAGAACCTGTGTAAGTGGAACACCTTTAGAACCTTAAAAAGTCTTCCACTTTGGAGGTGTTGCACTTACAATTGTTCATTTAAAATGAGGTCAAATGGTCATGTTCCACTGACAGGGGTGTTCCTCAGGTTTTACAATTCATGTTTAAACATTATCATAGCACATTGTTAATGTCTTAATTTAAGAATCCTTTGATTTTTGTCTTTTTTCGAATAAACAATATTTCTATATCATAAATGTTTACATTTTTGCCCTAAAGTTGTGGATGATAATGCACATTAATTACATGTATTGCTATTCAAGTCACCAATGACCCTGATGACAATACTTACATTTCTGAACAGCTCATGCAATCTTGCTCTCATAATAAACAAGTCAGGATTGTCCTGCTCAGCCTCTAATCTTTTGTTGACCAATGCCAGGCACTCTCCATGTCTCTCTAGAGCAGCCAGGCAAGCAATGCTGAAATCCAACACATGATAATGATATAAACATGAAAGCAACACTAGTAAGAGCACAGGGAGACATTATGATCCCATCCCGTGGTAAATAACCTACACGGGTGACATTGAAACCTCTATTCTTTCAGTGTACAAATAAGCACATATTATCATACAAGTCCATGCGTCTTAGAAGTTAATTCTTAACTGATCAATGGTTTGTTATCTACCTTTTTAGGCAAACTAAAGTGCAGCTCCATTCAATAAGAGTTGCTAGTTATCCAACTTATCTTACCTTCTAGTATGGTAACCAGACACCTCGGGGCTCATCTCAGCTGCCCGGGAGAATGCCTCCAAGGCTTCAGAATACATCTTCTGATCAAACAAACACTGTCCTTGGAAATAATATATAAAAGAAAGTCTTGAATAATAATCCATATTCTCAGGCTCAAGGACACAAGCGTGTTTGTAGTTCAAGATGGCTGACTGGAAATCGCAAAGCTGGATGAAACATTCCGCTCGTTGAATGTAGTAGTCTACATGGCCGTGGTTTAGGCTGATTGCTTTGTTTAATGTTCGAATTGCCCGCACATATTCTTTGTCGTTCATCAGTTTTAGAGCCTTCTCATAACTGAAAGTAAATCAATTGAACTTTGTATAGACACAATATATTTATGTTAGGAGGTCCATAACTTTCTCCAATAATTTTCAGACCAGCCCTTTTACATTCCACATATTAAATACAAGAAGAAATTAGGAAAGAACTTGATGGCATAAAACTATAAATACTCAATCATATATCTTGTTAACAATTTAAGTACACTGTGAAAAGCATAAGGGGAACCATATCTGATAGCAATTATGAATTGAATGAAACCTACTGTTCTTGTCTTCTAGCATCCACAATTTTCTGCAAAGTAATGCCCTCCTTTGCAGTTTCAGTCCAACTTTCTGTGGCAAACACTGAACCATCAGTTCGCTCTTTCATCCTTTCTTTAGCCAAACGTATCATATCTTCATCAACAGCAGTAGAAAATACACCTTCTTCATTTCCCTGTCAAAACAAGATGCAAATGTACACGTAACACAAATATTTATCATTTACACTTATATGGAAAAATCATACATTAAAGCTTTTAAATCTGAAAAAAAAATTGAATCTGTAACATATGAAGTCTTAAATATGACAAATTAGTATTATTTCTCAACCAGTTCTTCATTCAAAAAATTGCGAGATGGTAAATTATTCATAGGACTTAATTAAATTGATTAGGTAAAAGGCCCAGCTTTGAACATTATGGCGATGGTTTACGCCATTCTTTAACTTAATAGCGTTGTGCCAATAAAATATTACCAACCTTTTCATCTAAAGACTGTCTTGGTTCACCTTCCCCACCAGTTGCACCATCAGCTTCTCTGTACTCAACAATCTGATGGTCGCTGAACTTTTGTTGAGCTGCCTTTGGATCAATACTGCCACTCATTGCTCTGTCTTCATCAACCTCAGATACCTTCTCCAAATACTCATTGTCATCATCATGAATGTCAACTGTGATGTCTGTAAATGCTGATTCAGGTCTATCTTCATCGATTGGAGATTGCACTGCCATTTTGCCATAAGTTCCTTTTATTTCAGGATAAAACTGATGTACATCTGGTATATTTTCTAAATCAATTTGAGACTTGCGTCGAAAGTCATTGTACTCTGTACCACCAGGTGATTCGGGGGTGGGTGGTCTGTTTACTCCATTGTCTTGTGACTCTAATGTGGGTTGACCGTCTTGTATTCCCAGGTTCTCTAGTCTACTGGGTAACCCATCCATATCCTTCAAAGAGTTTGCCATCATGGTGCTGCTTTGGGAAATCAGGTCTACATGACAGCATTAAACTTTAAACTGGAAAATAATGTATAAATTATTTTAAGATTTAACAGTAAATCTCTGAGCAAAGACTTTGAAATTGCATGACACAAATACTCCAAAATCTTGGCAAGTTGTAATATACAGTAATGCAATGCTATACATACAGGATTTTCTTGTGATAAAACCCCTTATACAGGGGAAAGTTCTATATAGGCTTTTATCCTTTCATCCCAGCTACCAATCATGGGCACTTAACTAAATTCCAATAGATTGGTCAATGTAAAACTGTTATGATCTGATTGGCAAATGAACTGATGGCCTTGGTGTTTGATTGGATATATGAGATGATGGGTAAGAAAAATTGAGTTGATGGGAACCAAATTGACCGGTAACAAAAATAAAATGATGTCACTCGATGACGCCTTACGGGTACCAGAGAATGAGATGATGGGGACTAAATACTAAGATGACGACACTATTTTTAAACGTTTGCCGGTATGGGCGCCAGTTTTAAGGTCTTGGACTATCATTCACCTTAAATTATTCTAAGGCAAAGGGGTGTAACGTTGATGTGTGGGGTAACGTTGACATTAGTTCAACAAGTTAAACCTAGTCTGGGCCTTATTTCTTATCTGGCATATCTTGTGGCCCACCCTAGGTTTAACCTTTGTGCCTATTCGGCCCTTGATGCAAAAAATTCAATGGTGGCCTATGGCAGCGCATGAAATTCCATGCACGTTTTTTTTTTTTTTCTTTTTCAAATATAGTTTATTCCAATTTAGGTTTTTACGATACAGAAATACAATGATACAATTAATTACAATAATGTATAATGAGTTTCCATTTGTTTTTAAAAAATACATTTTTACGAGTACAGATTTCAAAATTTAAAGTTTTAATAGTGCCTTCAAAATTACGCTTAATACCATTATTCAGTTCTTGAATATATGTTTTATATATAACAAATGACACAATACTTATTAAATAGTTTAAAAATTCAGTATGATTGTCATTTCCATCATAACCAATTATCAATTTTCTGTAAGTTACTCTTAACCCTGAGATATTATAAATATGTTTCCAAATGTTTTGAGAATATGAGCATGAAAATAACAAATGTTTCAAGGTACATAATTCATTACATAAACTACATTTGTAGGTTTCACTTTTACCAAATATATATAAATCACTAAGGCTAGGAAGAATATTGTTGATTATTTTAAAGTTGAAATTACCTATTTTCTTTTCTTTACAACTTATTTTTGTAGAGAAAAAGTTTTGCCAATTTATTTCATCATTGGCTTCATAGCAAAACTCTTGTTCCCATTTCCTTTTCATAAACCATTTTTCCGATCGTTTGTTTTTTAATATTTCATAAAAGAATTTGGATTTCTGATTATTCACAGTGATAATCACATTATTTATATTAAATTTAAAAGTTTTATGAATATTTGTATACTTTACAGATTCTAAATTGAATCTTTCTTTCAGTGTGCCCGTGGCTGATAAAACTCTGTAATATTCAGATATCCAATTTTGTTTATTTACAAGTTTTTGATATAACATATAACATCAAGGAACCTGTGCTGAATTATCAAGTCTTTTATGTATATAATTCCACTTTTGATCCATGATTCAAAGAAAATTGGTTTATTTTTGACGGTGAATAATTTGTTTCCCCATATAACCTCTTGCAAGAGTTCATGTTGCTTCATAACTCTTATATTTTTGATGCATTTACATAAACAATGTGCTTCCAGCACTTGTTGATAAAAAAGTGGAACATTTTCAAATTCTTTGAATCTAGTATCATTTATCTTGAATAATACATCTATATTTGGAAGAAATTTATTGAAATAGAAGTAAGGGATTTTATTGTACATGTTTTGATTATGCAAACGGGGGATCCATGCTGCTTTAAGTGCATGTATTTGAGACTCTAAGTCAATCATATTTATTCCACCCTTATTAATATTATTTATGATTATAGATCTTCTTATTTTGTCCTTTTTTCCATCCCATAGAAATTTAAATACAAGATTTTTTATAATCTCATGTGGCACAGATAATACTGATGCTGCATAAATTAATTTTGGAATTGCCAGTGATTTAATCACTGTAACTTTGCCAAAAAGTGTTAAGTATCGGTTCTTCCAGCTATCTAATATTTTTTCTACTTTTTTTACTCTATCTTCCCAGTTTAATTCATAACATCTTTGTTTGTTCTGTCCTAAAAAGATTCCTAAATATTTGATTGGTTCATCAGTAAAAGTTATATTTTCACATTTCTTTTCAAAGTCCTTATTTTTCCCAAGCCAAATGCCTTCAGTTTTTTCTATGTTTAACTTCAGACCAGAAAATTTTGAGAAATTGGAAATAGTATTAAGAGCATTTTTCAATGACTCTTTATCTTTAATGAAAAGTGAAGTATCGTCCGCATATTGGGACATCTTATATTCTTTACCATCAACAGTTATACCTGATATATCATTATTTTGCTGAATTGCTAAGTTCATAACTTCGCAACATAAAATAAATGCCATTGCGGAAACGGGGCAGCCCTGCCGACATGAGCGTTCAACATCAATATTTTTTGATAACCATCCATTTTGCTTAATGTTTAAGAAAGGTTTTTCGTATAAAAGTTTGAGCCATTTGATAATCTTATCACTGAATTTAAATTTTTTCAACGTTTCATACATAAAATTCCACTCTATACTATCAAACGCTTTTTGGAAGTCAAGAAAGATTATAGCGCCACCTATCTGATTTTGATTTTCAAAATATTCAAATACATCTAATACCAGTCGGCTACTATTTCCTATAAAACGACCATTAATATAAGCCGTTTGTTGCATACCAATTAATTTACCTATAACCTTTTAAAGTCTTTTTGCCAAGATAAAAGCTAAAATCTTATAATCTGTATTAGAAAATGATATTGGACAATAATTTTTTAATAGTTCACGGTCTCCTTTTTTGAATAACAAAGATATGATAATTTTACGAAATGATGTTGGTAAGATTCCAACTTCATATGACTCATTAATTGCTTCTATAACATAAATATGTATATCTTTCCAAAAGCATTTATAGAAGTCAGTGGTTAAACCATCTGATCCTGGGGAAATATCTTTTTTCATACTGGAAATAACAGGTAAACACTCACTATTATTGATAACACCTTCAAGGATGTCATTATCTTGTTTATCTAATGTATTAGGAAAGTTAATAGAATTCAAATAATTTTTTACTTTATTGGTTGGTTGGGATTTTGATCTATATAATTCGCTATAGAATTTAATTTCTTCTTTCAAAATATCCTCATCTAATCTAAGTATACCATTTTCTGATTTCAATGATGTAATTGTATTATTTGCCTGACGTGCTTTTTCTAAATTCAGAAAGTATTTTGAGTTTTTATCTCCAAATTCTATTTCTTGCTCTTTTGACCTTAAGATGGCACCCTTTGTTTTGTTTTCAAGGTCTTTTTCAAAAATAGATAAAACTTCAAGCTCTCTAGCTTTTGTAGTGTCAGAAGTATGATCACTACTCTGTATTAAATCAAGCTCTTTATTTAGAACATGTAATTTTTTCTTTGAAATTGAACATTTTTTGATTGAGAATTGAATTGCAAATTCTTTAATTTTGACTTTCAAAAATTCCCATTTTAATTGTTTTGAGTTAATCTGGTTTAGTTCATGTTCATTTATATTTCTAATCAACCCTTTTACTTCGTATACAAAAGTGCTATCAAGTAAAAGAGAATTATTGAATTTCCAATAACCAGGACCTCGCATATTTTTACTTGTATCTAACTTCATCATGAGACATTTATGATCTGACATTGGATAGTGATGCTTAGTTCTTGATATAACTTTGAATTGAGCATCTTTATTATATAATATGTAATCAATTCTTGATTTAGCATTTTTTCCTTTTGATATACATGTATAGCCAAAATGCTTAAATTCATCATTGACATTCAGATATCTTATCAGGTTTTCTAATTTTAATCTGCTATTGTCAGTTTCTATTGTCTTTGGAAATTTGTCATCTTTGGTAAGATAACAATTTAAATCACCTGCTACTATAATGTTGTTGTTAAATGTAGCAAATTGTATGATCTTTTTAGACATTTGTGTAAAAAATTCTGCCCTACCAGTATTTGAATTTGGTGCATACATATTAACAAATGTAAATAAATTATCATTAATTTTCACATTGATAAGTAACGACCGTGCATCAGCACTTTTAAAGCAGTCTAAAATATCAATAGAAAATCGTTTATGTATCAATGTAGGAACACCTCTGCTGTGTGCACGTTTTAATAATAACTGATAGTGAGAATTTGCAACCAATGAAAGCATAGCATGGAAGTGAAACCCAATCATGGCAACAAGAACATTCAGATTATAAATGAAAGTCGTGGTATTGGGTTTAACTTGTTAAACTACGTTAACATGAGAAATGGGGTAACTTCGACATTTACTTCTGCAGAAATTAGAATTTCCGCTTTCCACTGTGTTTGATTTTCGAAAATAATAAAATTCTTGAGAGTAACTTTGACACCTTGTTGTTTATTTGCTCCAACTTCTGATCTAGGGGGAAGCCATGCTTTTTTCTCGCATGGATAGAGATCTTGCGAGATTTTAATCTCTCCAGACATAGATCCCGGCCAGATTATTTTGAGGTAGGATCAGTAGCTCAATAAATATTCCTCAAGATGAGACACCTCAGAAAATTTCAAATTTTAAAATGACGATTCTGGAGCCATTTCTGAAAAATATGAGACAAATCATACCTCATTCGAAGGGTCTTGTTATTCTTTACCTTTTTTATCACCAATGACCGTTATTCAAGCAATACTGTGTTGATAAGAGGCCAAAACAGTGATATTTTATCGCCGGACTCTTGTCTGTCCAAATCTGAATGGTGCTCCCGTGGTTCCAGAAATGTGACGTCATCAGTACAATGATATTTGGACACACAAGAGTCCGGATTTCTTGAAAAATATTCGCCGTATTAAAAGGTTATTTACTCGAACCAAACAAGTAGAAATAGAAAGATGAAGATCTCAGCTATAAAATAAGTGCAAAATCTGTCACGGGGAAGCAGGTAACATTTTGTATAAGGAACGTTTTGAAAGGTGGTCACTTTTTTTGAAATTTTCCAATTTAGTGACGCATCTTCTGTATTATTCTTTGAGCCTATGAGATCCTACTACAAAACGATCTGGCCAATATCTGTGTCTCCAGAAATCAAACATGGCAGAAAAATTATGTCTCTTACCTTAAATACACACACGTCGTCCTAGATCGGAAACAAGAGCAAATAAACAACAAGGTGTTAAAAGTTATATGTCAAAGTAAGCGTAAGTTGAAACGAAATGGCGTCACGGGTGACACGCACAGATACTGATGGGAAACTTCAGTATTTTCTGGAAAGTATTTAGTTGATGGCAGAATAGTGGATTCCCTCCCCTTGACAAGCATGTGGGAGAGTTTTTAATTTTATTATTTTCAGAAAAATCATTCGTAAAAATCTCAGACCTTTGAATGCCAAATAAATAAAATGAACGATAGAAATATCTGAAAATAACATGGCAAAACATTGATCATATATTCCTGTAGTGTTTCAAAAGAACTCTGGAATATATAGTTCAAGGAAATACCTATTCTTGATGTTATAATACCCCAGGTTTCCAATCATTTTCTGGTTCATCTTGTTGACATTTCCATGGTGAGCTGCGCGCGCACACTTTGAATTTGTCAAAATGCCCACTCTCTAGCAATTTTTAGATACGAAAATAAAATGAAAAGTGAGAATCGGTGAGAATCGGTGAGAATCGGTGAGAATTATATTTAAACTTTTATATGAAAATACACTTAATACGAATTATATTATGATATCAAATTATATGGCTAGTTATTTTGACCATTTAATTTTAAAAGTATTAGTTTCGTTTCAATACTGGTTTTGCAGACAGCGGAAAATTAAAAAAAACAAATAAGTGGTAAGAAAGCATGTCTCTTATTTTTCCTGTTAACATGGTTATTCCGCTTTGTCATGAGATCTGATCTCATGCTTTTCACAAAATATGTATCATGTCGTAGAATATTGCCCAAGATCATTTGTTCTACTTCTGTCAGCTATTTATCATCACTCAAAAAACACTCATGTCAAATCCAAAGGTTAATGATTATTGTGAAACGCCCACTTTCTTCTATGCATATGTACTGCGCTCATACATGTATGCCCGGTGAAAAGTAGAACTTAAAGTTGTGTCTTTCTATACTGCTTACAATGTACCCCTAGTATAGTACTCCTCCCCCTCCCTGGACCTACATTTTTGCATTGCAATCTTATTGGACTTTTTATTTCACCCTCTATCGAGCTGATGGGCTAGTTTAGACAGGCTGTGTTCAGTTATCACCATTAGAAGTGATAACCTAATACTAGAAATCTCCAACTTTTTTTTGTATGGTGGTGATTGGTGTTCGACAGTTGATGTTCGTGGTGGTTAGTGTTTGGTATTGGTGAAAAATGGTTACCTAGTTCCAAACCTACAACCTATATTTATCACTACGTCTTAGAATGAAGAGATGGTCTTGTTTCTCAAAACAAATGGCAGGTGGTGACATTTTAAAATTGAAAATCTCAAATCTAATCATAACCAATACGAATTCAGCATCACTTAGGTTTAGATGATACACAGAGAACAAAAGCTATTATTAAACATTTCTTTCCAGATTAATGGGTGATAGTGATCATTGTGACACCATATGTTCTTTTCTTAATCCCATTTGTACTCTTAAGGGTTACAAATTTCAGGATGTTTGGACCAATATTTACAAAATACCAGATACTTTTACCTTGTTTATTGATCACCCTGTACATGCAGGTCAGTCAGCTGAGACAAACTATCAACTCTGCTACTACTTAATTTTGTGCTACTTATTTTGGCAGATTTGCTGTTTTGAACATTTTGAGGAGGCTATTTAATTTGGCGGACTTGCAATATTACAATGCACTGACTGCTGACTAAGGGTACTAATTTACATGGTACTAAAGTTACAGGGGAGTTTGGTGGCTACTGGATTTTTCAGACTTGCAATATTATGATGCACTAAGGGTACTAATTTACATGGTATTAAAATTACCGGGGAATTTGGCGGCTACTTAATTTTGCGAACTTTAACTATTTGGCAGATCCGCCAAATTAAATAGAAGTACAGTATTAAGTATAGTATTGTGGAAAAGCCAGTCGGTCCTATAGCTCAGTTGTAGAGCAATCGCCTTGTAAACGAGGGGTCGTGGGTTCGATCTCCATTTGGGTGGACTGACATTTTCACTTCAGCCCTTAGCACAGGATTTCATTCTGTGTTTTCATTAACACAGTATTTCGTTCTGTGCTTTCATTAACACAGGATTTCGTTGTGTGTTTTCATTAGCACAGGATTTCGTTGTGTGTTTTCATTAACACAGGATTTCGTTCTGTGTTTTCATTAACTAGTATTTGGTGTCATTGGTCCATTCATGAAACATATGTCCTTAGAAACTATCAACAGGTTATGGCATTTCACTGAATGTTTCAAATTAAAATTTCAGATACCCGCTTAAATCAGCGAATCAAGTGATAGGGTCCAGACTTAGTATACTTCATTCATACATTCACAACTATGGCAGCAGCTGGGAGAGAAATTCCTCTTAAGAAAGGTGAATCTGCATTACTGGTGATTGACATGCAGAAGGGATTTGCAGGTACGAAATGATATTATTAAGTGAAGTTAAAGGTACATTTTTGTTTCACAGAACCATATCAATTATCAAACTTATCAAATACCAAAAGTGTATAATCAAGATTCCAACAAGACTGTATTCATGCCTTCTATAATAAAATGTGAACAGATGTTTTCTTTTCTAAAATAGTATTTTCTATTGTATGACTTTCATCTCAACTTCCCATTAATTATTTAGTTCCAGGTAAAGGTATCTGTAGTGACATAGATCCAGAAAACATCCCAGAAAAGGACCAGTATCTTTTCAACAGAATATCACAACTCGTTGTTCCAAATGTTGCTGAATTAATTCGTCACTGCGAACAAAACAAATGTGAAGTGATATACACATATGTTGAGAACCTAACACAAGATGGAAGAGACCGTAGCCTGGACTATAAGATTACTGGATTCAGTTTTCCTAAAGGATCCGAAGATGCTGAACTTCTCGATGAAATAAAACCAATTCGTCCTGAAGACACTATCATGATTCCAAAAACTGCATGCAGCGTTTTCAATTCAACCAATATTGAGTATGTTTTGCGAAACTTAGGTGTTACACAATTGGCCGTATGTGGACTTGTTACAAACCAATGTGTAGAGAGTGCTGTACGCGATGGCGCGGATAAAGGATTCTTGATATCAGTATTGGAGGATTGTATCGCCACTCACGACCAGCCAGCTCATGATGCAGCTCTTAAGAACATGAAAGGTTTTGGCAGGATTGTCAGCTACAAAACCATTATGGAAGAATTAACAAAGTGGCAGTAATTTCAGATCTTTTTCCTGAACTTGATGCCATTTTAGTAAAAGAAGAACATCATGTAGAGAGCTGTATTGAACATATATCTTCAAATATTGAAAGATATTGATGAAAAAAATAACATTAATACTTTACGACTGAATTTGATATGACTAAATGCATCTTGTGTTTTTAGGACACAGATGACTTCTAGTTTATATACAGAGTATTCTGATTGGTAGTGATAGTTTATGATTTTGGAGGGTGGAGGATGACTATCTTTGAGTGGTGAAGGGGCTTTATCCTTAGTCATGTCTCATCTCTTTTAATGAAAAAATCATTCAAACTTTTATATAGCATAATATGTGACCTGAACACCCCACGGGTGTGTAATACATGTAATAGTCACAAAGTAAAGTATGAATGGAAAAACAAATAAGTGCTTGTGCCATGCAAAATTAATTTAAATAAAATACTGATGCACTGAGTGAATAATTTGCATTATTCAGTTGCATTTACTCAAAAACTAATAAGTGCTTGTGCCATACAAATAACAAAATTAATGTAAAAACTGATGCACTGATGTGCATAATTTGCACTATTTAGTTGCATTTACTCAAAAACTAATAAGTGCTTGTGCCATACAAAATTAATGTAAAAACTGATGCACTGAGTGAATAATTTGCATTATTTAGTTGCATTTACTCTAAAGCTAATAAGTGCTTGTGCCATGCAAAATTAATGTAAAAACTGATGCACTGAGTGAATAATTTGCATTATTTAGTTGCATTAAATCTTAAGCTAATAAGTGCTTGTGCCATACAAAATTAATGTAAATACTGATGCACTGAGTGAATAATTTGCATTATTTAGTTGCATTTACTCAAAAGTTAATAAGTGCTTGTGCCACACAATATTAATGTAAAGACTGATGCACTGAGTGAATAATTTGCATTATTTAGTTGCATTGACTCAAAAACTAATAAGTGCTTGTGCCATACAAGCTACAAGTTTGTCATTGATGGTGACCAAGTTACAAGTTTGTCAGAGAGCGGGACCAAGTTACAAGTTTGTCATGAATGGTGCCTGGGGATGATGACCGAGTTACAAGATTGTCATGGATGTTAACTAAGTCACAAGTTTGTCAGAGAGGGTGACCAAGTTACAAATTTGTGATGGATGTTGACCAAGTTTCAGGTTTGTCATAGATGATGACCAAGTTTCAAGTTTTTGTCATGGATGTTGACCAAGTTTCAATTTTTTGTCATGGATGTTGACCAAGTTACAAATTTATCATCAATGATGACCAAATTTCAAGTTTGTCATGGATGTTGACCAAGTTTCAAGTTTTTGTCATGGATGTTGACCAAGTTTCAAGTTTGTCATGGATGATGACCAAGTTACAAGTTTCTCAGAGAGGGTGACCAAGTTACAAGTTTGTCATAGAGCGGGACCAAG